GCTCTGAGGAGGATGAAGGGGGATTCCCACTGGGAATGCTGCTCTGAGGAGGATGAAGGGGGATTCCCACTGGGAATGCTGCTCTGAGGAGGATGGAGGGAGATTCCCACTGGGAATGCTGCTCTGAGGGAAGGGAAAGATGAAAAGCTCCTTATCCACCTCCCGGTGCCTGTGGAGCAGCAGCGCCGCCGTGATTCCCACAGCCATGACGGCGGAGCAGGTGCTGGAATCTGCTGGGGGGGAGAGGGGCTCGTTATCCGGAGGGTGATGAACCCCCACCCCCATTCCCCAGCAGGGAATGCCATCCCAAGGGATGCGGGGACCACCCGCACCCCTCACCGCTCAGTGTGTGCAGCCCCAGCGCCGTCACCAAAATCTCCTCTTCTGTCCCCACACCGGCACCCAAAGCGCCCACGTTCCCCACATCCAGCACGCTGGGACATTGGGGGGAGAGGGCTGAGCAAGAGGAGCCGGGAGCAGAGATCCAAGGGGAAACGCTGCCCGGGGCTCAGCTCCTCACCACGTGCCAAGGATGGTGGGAAGCAGCAGCTGCTCCGGCCGATTCCCGCTGAGCATCGGCCCCACCAGGTTGTTCTCCACAAATTCCTGGGAATGAGCAGAAAGGAGCCTGGGGGTGCTCACAGCCCTCAGCACCACGAGCTCACTCAATCCCTGCAGCCCCAGGGCTGGGAGGAGCCCAGATCACCCAGCATGGATTCACTGGATACCCTCAGACACCCAAACCCACCAACATCCTGGAAACAGCCCCCCAGTGCCAGGACGGATCTGGGGGCATCCCCAGCTGCCGTACCCGTAAGGAGAAGGGCTGGGAGAAATCTACCCGGGCACAGCCACGGGGCCGGCGCAGGGCCTGGAATGCTGCCCGGAGACACGCGGTGATTCTGAGGGGCTGAGTGGGCTGCAGAGAGACGGGATCCAGGGATTGACGGCGGGTTTAGGGGGATGCCACTGCCCAGGGATGCTCCCGCAGATTTGGGGGAACACCACTCCCCAGGGATAACCCCAGAGATCTGGGGGAACACCACTCCCCAGGGATGCTCCCAGGGATTCTGGTGAGCACCGGTGACCCCCCTGACCCCCTCTCACCGCTCCATCCCGCCCCGCTCTGCCGGGAGCCACGTCGTAGGCAATTCCCACCGGGACGATGCGCACGTCGGGCACGGCTCCGTCCCGCAGCGCCCGCAGCACCCGGAGCAGCCAGCGCCGGGCGGGATCCGAGAGCCGCAGCAAACCCAGGGGCTCCTCCAGGAAGATGACGAGGGGCTGGCGGCTCCGCAGCACCTCCTGCACGTACTGGGGGGACACTGGGAGTACTGGGAGCTGCCAGCACCTCCCCAAGCGCTCCAGGGCATTTTCCAGCCCCGACCGCACCTACCGCATCCAGGACAGCGCCCGGCAGCCCCTCATCCCGCTCACTCTGTGCCTGCGCCATTCCCGAAGGCAGGAAAATCCCTCCCAGGCGTTGCAGCAGGGACCTGGGGGGCAAACACACCGTGGGCTCACGCTGCATCCCCCTGCAGCCCCCAGGAACATCCCACACCGGCTCCTTACCGGAGGCCAGGGCTGATCCGGGTGCCCACTGTCACCCTGGGGGCCCCGATGCCCTGCGAGAGGAGGAGGAAGGACAGGAGCGGCCCATCCAGCTGGGATTGCTGGGTACACAGGAACACCAGCGGCACCTCGGGCTGCAAGGAAGGATCCCGGGCTCAATTCCGGCCCTCCCAGGCAACGGGAGTGCCCGGCTGGGCTCCGTACCGTCCTGGCAGCCCGGAGCACCATCTCCAGCTGCCCCCGCTGCAGCTGCACACTCAGGAACAGACGGCTCAGCAGCTTGGGGAGCATCCAGTGGCACAGCCTGCAGCAAAACTGGCAATGAACAACCCCGCGGGCACGGGGCGGCCCCCAACCCCCCAAACACTCCCACCCCCTGCCTCCCCTGCCTCACTCGCCACAACCCAGCCTGCCTCAAAATTCCCAGCGCAGCTCCCACAAAGGCAAATGCCCACTTTTATCACACAGCAAAGGTTGGATGGCATGAGACACCTCCTTTCCCCTGACAACCAGAGCTGCCCTCAGTTATCCCTGCATTCCTCCCAGAAGGATCCCGACACGCCCTTATTCCCTGAGCAATTTAAGGGCTTAGAGGGATCATTTATTCCCACTGGATCAGACCAGCAAGGAAGCCCTGAATTCCCACTTCTCAGGGACAGGAGGGGGAAGGCAGTGCGGAAGGGAAGGCTCCCTCTGGTTCCCACCCTCCTGGAGGGGTTGGATTTTCCCACTCCAGCTCCCCGGAAGGAATTGCCAGAAGGGCCCCAGAAGCTGTGGGGGACTCCGAGGGCAGCTGGCCAAAGAATCCATGGGCAGCTCCCAAAGGAGCCCAGAATATCCCCCCAAGGATCCCAGAAAACCCCCAAGCCATCCATGTGCATCCCCCCAGAAGCCCAGAGGACCACCCAAAGGATCTGGATCCATCCCCCACAGAATCCCAGAAGATTTCCCCAAAGGATCCCTGACCTCAGGAGCAGAGGGGACAGCGGTGCCTGGATTTCCCCCAGGATCCGGCAGATCTCCTCCTTCCAGTGCCGCCGGGATCCCTCATCCCCTCCGCATCCATGGGCCCGGCTGGAGGCAACATCCTGCACCCTGGGGTGGAAGGGAGGGGGGAGCACCCTGGGATCCGCGTGCCGGGATCCAGGGAGCCTCAGCGGCATTCCCGGCATCCCATGGACCCGAGATCCAAGGACTAAACAGGATCCCCCAGGAATGGGGGCCCGCCCCTCCCAGGCTGAGGGTGATCCCGGGATCCCCCCAATGCTCCCACCCACCTCCTGCTGCCGCAGATCTTCCCTGGGAGCTCCCTGGGGGTCTCCGATGGAATTTCCCATTCCCAGG